AATCTTCTACACCATGGATCACAAACCATCCATCAACTACTACAAGGATGGTTGTGAGACATGTTGTAAGATTTTATGACGTATTCTTCACCTTCCAATCTTATAAGAAACCTAGATTGGCAGTTTAAAAACTTAGATTTTAAATGTCACAGATTGGTTAAAGTCATCACGGTATTTTATTCACTGTCAAACATTCTGATTTAGGTTTACGGACAAATGTGCAGTGAAACACAAGTATTTATATCCCATATCCTTCAACAATTTGCTTTCTGCGTGAACATAGTGCGTATGGGTAGTCTGAGCAAACATAGAATTATTCTTCCAGATTTATGGAAATCCTTTAGCGCACTATCAAATTCAATCCAGCTTCCGAATCGATTGCTCAGCATAATACGTTGAAACGAGTCATTTACGACCACTTAAATCTCAATTGAACATGAAGCACTACAGATAACACGCATTGTTTATTTAAAAAATATTCCTTAAAAAAATAACTGAAAGAAGTACAACAAATATTTAGGATTTATCGTTGAATTGACATTTCGTCTTAACTTCTTTGTTTAACAGTGACTCATAAAAACTCTGAGTATCTATAACGTTTTACGTTATCTTAACCGTCTTAAGTTGTTTTCTAGACCTGTGATTGTTCACGGGTTCCCTAAACGAAATCTTTTGATGTTCGGCTTTCTCATGATATAGACCAATAAGGATACGTTTTGGATAGACTTAATATAACCGACTCGCAATCAAACCAAGTGTTAGGATGTGCAGAAAAATATACCAATAGTTATCATGTTAAGTCTACTGTTGTCCTTGGACGCTAAATGTACATTCCCTATTGGTCGATATTTACTTCACTTGTTTAATATTGTGTAAATGTTGTTTTCTATCTTTATGGTACCATGTGGTATGTTTGGTTAGTATATAAATAGAGTATGTCTGAAATACAATGATTCATATCTCGGAGGCTGTGACTTTCGTTCTGGACTCAACTGGCTGGGATAGACAGGGAAGCAGGGCCAATCGGACTCTAGGTCGTTCGTACGTGTTTACGTGTCACTAACCGATCGATATAAAACGCTGCTTATCATAACCTGCAGTCTTACATCACGTTACAACACCAAGTATCAAGACTTTCCAGTCTAGTAAACTCTAACATCACTACTTAAGTTGATCTAAGTGACGCTGGACTCTCCTGATGTAGTAAAAGCCACTTTTTTGTATTAGTATGATGGATCTCACACCTCAAAAGTGATTGAGACATGTGAGTGCGATCCCAAACTAATCAGACAACTAAATACACCTGATACGAGCTTCTCCAGAGATCCGTATTTGATTATTGGGCAACTCATTAGCAAGCAAACTCAGCCTGTAGCTCTTCCAGAGTTACTGCCGGTCCCAAGCCCGAGTAAAGGAGGAGGGTTGGGCATGAGGTTGGGGACCCCATCCTGTAGAAAACTAACTCGCTAGAAGACGCTTGCCAGAAAAATAATTCAAACCATTTCAACTCTGCCCTGAAAGTTAGAAGGTCTTCATCTAGAAGAATTATGACGCTTCATGGTGAAAGCCGAGTTCCTTTGGAAGCCATGAGGACAATGCCTCTTCTAACGACCAGAGCAAAACATTTTATAGGCACATGGAACTTCCGAACAATGTGGGAGACTGGGAACACCAGTCAAATAGCAACGGAAATGAGCAGATACAACTTGGCAGTACTGGGAATCAGCGAAACCCATTGGACCTAAGCTGAACAACAAAGGCTAAATACGGGAAAGATGTTGCTATAATTCGGTCACGAAGAGGAAAATGCTCCACACACTCAGGGGGCTGCTCCAATGCTGTCCAAAGTAGAACGAAATGCACTTGTAGGATGGGAATCTCACTGGACAACTGGACAAACGGCACTACAAAGGTTCAATATAGCCTTCCTTCGAGATACTAACAAAATCAACGAATTGAAGATAGCTCTCAACAACAGGTTCCGAGCCTTACAGGATCTACTGAAAGAAGAAGAAACAACTATGGAGGACAACTGGAATGGTACCAAAGAAACATTAACTTCAACGTGTCAAGAGGTTCTGGGCCTAAAGAAACACAATCATAAGGAATGCATCTCTGTAAAAACACTGGACAAGATCAAAGAAAGGAAGAACAAGAAGACAGCAATTAACAACAACCGAACACAAGCAGAGGAAGTCCAAGCGCAAGCTGAATACATAGAAGCAAACAAACAAGTGAAGAGGAGCATTAGAGCCGACAAGAAGAAATAAGTGGAAGAACTAGCAACGACGGCAGAAAAAGCTGCTAGAGAAGGAAATATGAAATAACTGTATGATACAACGAAAAAACTAGCAGGGAAATACAGTAAACCAGAGTGACCGGTAAAGGACAAAGAAGGCAAGCCAATCACTGAAATTCAACAACACTGGAACAGATGGGTAGAGTACTTAGAGGAACACCTGGATAGACCAGGTCCAATGAATCTACTGGACATCCAATCAGCGCACACATAGGTCTTCCTATAGATGTCAATCCGCCAACGACGGAAGAAATCAGAACGACCATCAGACAAATCAAGGGCGGGAAAGCAGCAGGACCTGACAATATACCAGCTGAAGCAATGAAGTTAGACATCGAAGTAACTACAAACATGCTTTACCTTCTATTCAAAAAGATTTGGGAGGAGGAACAAGTGCCGATGGACTGGAAAGAAGGACACCTCATCAAGATTTTAAAGAAAGGAGATGTGAGCAAATGTGAAAACTACGGAGGTATTACACTACTGTCAATACCAGGGAAGGTCTTCAACAGAGTGTTGCTGAATGCAGATAAAGACAGCCAGTGTAGCAGCAGTTTCTGTATCAGTAGGCCTCAAAATTACGCAGCACCCACAACACACCCACTAGAAACTTCTGATCCGACTACTCTTAGTCTGTTATATTGTGGAATTATGGCCTAGTTCGGTATAAATACATTTATCTTTGCTATCATTATGATAAACCTGATCCTAAAATTGTGGATTTGCCATCACGTGACTACCTAATCTACAAGATCTTACTTTGAAGTCACATCATTGTGTCGTGGCAATCAGCAACACAATGTCTAGCACTTCTGACGAACACATTTGGGTTTGGGATAGAATATATCCTAATGTGAATAGGGACCTGTCACAAGGATGACCACGCCTGCAAGCCTGATCCGTTCCCTACCGATCAGTTGTCACCACGCTCCTCGTCGTTGCATGTTAAATGCAGGCATTTTCAGTAATTATATACGTGGCTTTAAAGATCGTATGATTAGGAACCGATGCCGCTACAATATCTCTGTTCAATGGGTACCGTCTAATCTCCATTTTTATCTAATTATCGCGAGGTTTGAGTCTTTCACATCGAACCACATACGTCTGCTGTATCGGGGGAAGCCAACTCAGAGCAACGAAAGAATGTGCGGATCTACTTTATCTCCCGCTCGCTAATCTCTACAAGTGGCCTGTATTCACGGTTAAGCTGACTTCTGCCTGGAAGTACAGAGTGATCACGGCAATGCATGAAGCGATAAGAAGACAGAATTTGTAATTGGAGACCGATTTTCCTGCTCAATGTAGTTACGTAGATCATGAGGTGAATCTCAAGCGAATCCCTATATAAATATATACTCAGCAATCGTTACATTCCGACTCGTAACACTGTTCGCTTTCGGTTATTTTATGTGACACAAGCCCATTGACGACAAAGAGTAACTGAACTCTAGTAAATGAACACCACTTATACACACATAAACCTCAAGGTACTCGAAAGTGTTGATAATCTAGTTCACTGATTATAGAGACCACAAACCTTCAACATCCCATTTACTTTCTTTGATTGGTACTCCGTGTTGTGTGCTGGTGACTTGAGGTCAACCCTCGTCCTTGATCGCGTCCTGACTCTCCATGAAGACTTGTAGATCACTTGTTGGTGGTCGGTCTGATATAGTTGAGTGAGAACGACCTAACATCCTAGCCTACGTTCAACTCACACGTATTGGTTGATACCTTGTTCGAATTACCCTATCATGATACTCAGGTATTGTGGCCTCTTTGGTAACAGAATAGAAGAGGTAGAATCTTACAAAAACAATACCATGTACAATATCAACAAATTGTAGAGGCATTGGGTCCTAACCACACAATCCTTAAAGCTGAACACTAGACAACTGGGAAACTAGATATTTAGTATCCCACTGCGGAGAAAAACCCAACGATGGGGAAGGCGGGAAGAATGAATGGAATCGAATCGACTTCATGGCATGGCTCGGCCTTGTAGGCGATGCCATCCTTGGATGTTGTTATATACCTTTTACCCATATTAAATACATTGATCTATTTCTAGCCTAAGTGTATTCTCCATCATGTACTGACGATTGTTAGGATGCAATGAGATGGTGTAGACGATGATGTGACTTCCACGTAAGATTTTATAGATCAAGCGGTTAAATCATGAGAAATCTACAATTTTGGGATTAGGTCTATTATAAGAGTAGTACTAATATCATAGTTGACCATAAATCCAACATAGTACAGAGTAATGAAACAACCGCATGGACTAGTTCATGGAATGTTTTTGTTAGTTCCATGTTAGTTATCCTTGCACTTGCCTAAGTTCAGTCACATAACTTGGATGCAAAAAAATGTTTGGTTACAAGAATGATTTGTCGCAAATTCAATAAATTCATTCCTATTAGGATTGGGTGATCAGTCAATGAAAAAGTCTTATCTAATTAAGACAGATGAGTAGATATCACAAATGACACACTGTAAAATACGTTTCCAATATTATTTAAACAAATACATAGTGTTTTTTATTAAATGAGGCAAGAAATTCTTGTGTAATAGATGGAGGAATCAGAATAGTCCATAGAATGTCACTTATGGAGAATATTAGCTCCAAACGAATCCATTCCATACGTACACATTGTAAGTTGAAAATGATCACAAATGTTAAATTGAACAAGAATTAAGCTCATGCTGTGTATAAACTAATTATTGTTTTTGAAAAATAATTTCGAGCTTTATTACGTGATAGTTTCATTGTTGGAGTCAATAAGCCATTGTCTATCGTAAACACCTCGTCTGTCAAGTAAATTGCCTGGACCTGTCAGTACAAACATTTAGAAAATATAAATCAGACACATAATTACTTCAGACTATACGAAAAGAGATTTCAATACATGGTTTGCATAATATACAGTAGAAAAAAGCGTCAAGTATTTTTATCTGATAAATGATTTCGATTTCAATTTGAAATGACAGAAAACACATTAGTAGCCCCAGTAGATGGTTTACGTGGTGATGCGTTTTCTTTTTCCAGAAAGATTACTTCGACTCAAAATAGCTACCGACTATGAACGGCAAAAACAATTCAATAATAAAACCGAATGACTCAGATACACTACCGAAAGAGATTACCTTCTTAGAATAAATCCAGAACCAATTTTTTCGCATCAATCATAAAAGTTACTTTAAGCATTAGGCACAAAATCTACGAGTTTCTCAACGCATACAGATATATTAAAGACTTGGTAAGTATGAAAAATCCGAAGTAGAAACACAAGTAGTGTTCTTTCTGAATCAACCGTTTCAACTGAATAACCCTGAACAAAGATGTTGAAGAAGCAAACATAATTGTTGTAACTTGATAAAAATCAAACAGGACAACACTATTGGCTTTACTTATCGCTAACAGTGTTGTTTTAGACTAACACAGTAAGACAATACGGTATTCAAAAACTTGGATTGAGTCGCAAAGTCTAATTGATTTCTGAATATGTATCAGCACTCTGATATGGCTCGATCATCAACGTTACGGTTACGTGATTATGGCTTGAAATGATTCTGGGAACTTCATTAAACCATAATTCCTTTTAACTCACTAATCAACTCATGCAACCAAATCACATTTCTCTATGTGTTATCACTTTGTACTTTAACGACAGCATTACTTTCGCTGAATCTATTTTTATTATGGAGTGTATACAATCACCATTGATGGTGGTACTGTAAAATCAATACATTATGATTTATACATCCTTCATAAACTTTATCACTTCGTATTATTGTCAATTTAGTTTAACATGTTCATTTTGAAGTGGAAAACACCATTTTAAACCAGTGGGATGATTGAAATATACACAAAGTGTATATCTGAACCTATTGACTGAACAAAAATTATTTAATAAGCATAAAGAAATATTAGTTCTATGCACATCATGCCATTAACCTTTAAAACTTTACACTAATGTTTAGATAAATAAAATTAAAGTACTTTTCAATGATGAAATCACCACATTCTAAATTATGAAAAGGTAATCATGAAAGTAACAAAAAGGTAAACATTTTGTACAACAAAATAATGTGAAATAAACTAACGGCTAAGGTTATTTATAGTTCAATAGTAAAACATAATTAATTACATTAAAAACTAAAACTAAATATAAACTATTCTTATTTAATAATATGGTTGTTTCTAATTAGTATCATTACATATCTTTATGCTAAATGGTTGTCACATAAGTAAACATTAACAGTCTACGCGTTTAATTATTAATAATAAACTGTTTGTTGTTAAAATAATCAGGAATAATTGACAATATTCTGTTCAGTAATTGGTTTTAAAACTTCATCTGTAATAAAAATAGACTGAGAAACTTTCTATTTATACGTAGAAATGTCTTCCATTTGCAATCATGTGTGCTAAGCTTGTTTTTTTTGTTTGACTAACAAGAAAATGGTTAGATTACGTGGAAGTTTAATTAGTATACGGAAAACAATATCACCATTGACCTGAGGAATTTTGCTTTGATCAAGTATACTAAACTAGGAAGTAAATTTAAACTATGGTGTCGCCTGATTATAGAACACAAAACAACACTGAAATATGAATGTAACAAAAGGACGAAAATAGTATTTTCTTTTGTATAAAACAATAGGAAAGAATCAACTGAAAAATCAGTTTGGTTAAAGAATAAAAGGAAGTTTGTGTAGATTGTTGAATTTTGTAGTTTACATTATGAGCTGATCTTGGTTAAATAACCAATGAAAAACATAAAGCATTGGACAACTAATTTCTAGCTAGTATGAGACCGTTCAATGGTGAGTATCCACAACCTCACTGGAGATCGAACTCACGACTTACAGTAATTGCTGAGTTGGCATCTATAAGTTTACATTTCTAACTTCAATTAATTAACAAAACCATATAAGAACCCAATATAAAGTCATTAATAAATTGTATAACGTTAACGAGCACCGGATAGCATATATTTCCTCAAGTTTAAATGTATTATAATACAAAAATTCAAAGTGACAAAAACATCATTAAAACTTTGGTTGAGGAGTATTGACAGTTATGACTTTCTAACATTTATATGACCAAAGAAGGAAGTTCATTATTTCAGGTACAGTTACTTCCGTTGATTGCTAATTCTACAAATCAACATTGTGTCAACTCTATTTATTTACTTAATAAGGTCAGTAATACCCATTCTGATGCGGGGTAAATTCACATGAGTGAGTTACTTCGACTAATGAAAATTCACAATCTCATTGACTAATCTGTTTATTTGTGATTCAACCCGAGGTCAGTTATATATCATAAATACTAATTTGTTTGTTTGTTTGTCGACCGGTACGAAACATACATAAATAAGAACAAGATTAAGTATTTAAATTACGATTACAATTTTTAAATCATTCGTTACAAACCTTTTCAAAACCCTTCAACAGTTTTAGTGTCGCTATAGCATTCATTTCCTCCAAAACGAATTTATTGACAGTTTCATTTCGACAAAGTTCAGAATCCAAAAGTGTTTTATGATGCTGCAGTACCTTACTATTGCTTAGAGCGGAACGCAATTCAGTAAAATCTGGAACTACTATCGCAACTGGGTAGTTTTTTTGACTGTTACCATCCACAAATACTTGACTTGTTAATTTGCAAGTTTGATAAGCCATTTCTATTTTTTCAGGTGCAATATATTCACCTTGAGCTAATTTGAATATACTCTTTACACGGTCCACAATTTTGAGTGAACCTTCCTGTTATAAAATAAATAAATACATGTTTATGTTAATGAAGTAAATGATTCAAGTAATTTTAGATAGATTCTGTTTATTCATGATTTCAGATTAGCCAAATAATGCAAGGAACTATAGTTTACTTTTTGACAGAAGGCAGATCATAATTCAACATGAATGTTTAAATTCTATAATATATCAGAAAATTTGATTCTAAGTATTTAAAAATTCTTAACCATCAGTCAAAAAATCACTTATACAGGAAAGTAGTCAGCAAATTAAACTCAATGACTACGTAAGTTATTGAAAATTCGTAGCTTCATCTCTGTAGTTAGCTACTGAAGGATAAAATAGACATGAACTTTGAACATTTTAGCTGGTAAAATTTTAAAATGGCTTCAAATTAGGACCGTTAACAAACGAAGTTAGAGGTACAAAACGTCGTCATCAAGTGAAAGGTGAAAAATAATCCTTTTATTACGACACCTGGCATAAATCCAGTATACTGATGATTCCAATATAACACAGAATTATAAGGACTGCCTTCAAAATAAAATAAATTTCAGTTAGTGTTGACACGCACTGTGATAAATACAGTAAGTAATCTTTCTGAAAAGCGATTTCTCATCTTATTTAGCTAGTTGTTAGTAATCTCAACAAATATCCATCGGTAAAGTTTCTAAAAACGATTTATTCAATCAGCACTGCATAGAAACCCTCCAAGCAAATCTAGCGAAATGTAGGATTGTTTCACATTTTGATTGGATAATTACAGAAATAGTATATTCATAAAATCTCAATAAGTAGGAAGTTACATTTCCAACGTTTCGTGACTTGGTGTAAGTCACTTTTGAGAGAACATAACCATCATTTTTTTCAATGTTCAAATAAACGCGCAATAAACTGGCGTTTTTGAGCATTCTTGCGTTCATTTAATTAATCAATGGTGAATATAAGAGTAGAATTTTCATTTGTGGTTTTCATTTAAATCACTTAAAACTACTTGTATGCACATCTCACATCACTAACAACCACAATAATATTTTTAGACTTACTCTTCCACAATACAAATATCAAATTTTTACACCCACTAACATACACATAAATACACGCAAGTAAATCTCATGTTGACTGAATTGATAAGATTTATTTTAATCTGAACTGAGCTAAATGTATGCAGTTTTTTGTACTATTGAATTCGGTTATTTATTTCTTCATTGAATAATTGATTTATACTAAGTTAGAAAACGTTACTGATGTTGAGACTGTTTATTGTGCTTCCAGAAGTTTCTAGAAGTACAAAATTATCTGAAAAGCTTTAAATGAATTCGATTTTCTGTACACAGATAAGCATAAAAGTAGAGCTTTTATTTATACTTCACACTTGGTCGAGCTCAAGTGTACTAGTACGCCAAGGATATTGGAAGCGTCTAGAGAGTAAATAAATAATTGTTAAATGAGAAGACTTATCACTAATCCAAGTATTAAACCATAGAGTAAATAGATAAGTGTCCCCGAATTTATGCCCATCCAATTTGTAACTTAATGAATAAAATGTCATATATAAAGTAACTTTCATAAATTTACGATGAACAATATATTCAGCTGCATTATTCTATAAAACATAGGATGATATTGGTTAATGAATAAACGGACAAAGATATATCAAAAAGTATTTTTAGACTTACTTCAGTCCATTCACCAATATCCCCAGTATGAACCCAACCATCACTATCAATAAGTTCAGCAGTTTTTACCGGATCCTTGAAATAACCTTTGCTGCAGTGATCGCCTCTGGCACATATCTAAAAAACAAATTATGACGCAATTGTGTTTTTCTTAGTTTAGCACGAGTGAACTTTATTCAGAGTTGAATTTCGGTTTACATTTCCGCAAGAACCTCCAACTCTTGAAGCAACACAAATCACCAGACACAGAATACTTACCTGCGGCTCTTTTTTCACCCATTTATATATCCTATACTTTGATCATTGTAATTGTTATATATATGGATTTATAACTGTAAAGGCTCTGGTGATGAAATCATTCAAATAAAAATATTCTTTGTTTACAAATCTTTTAAGTGTTGTTTAATATTCTAATTGTAAATTGATGTATGTTATTATTATTATTGTTGTTATTTTCATGGCGTCAAGCAATTGCAACCACTGCTCATCTGTAATTTTCAGTGGGTTGATAGCTAGCCATGATCCTAGCTTAGTTTGATATTTAGTTGCAACATAAAACATAACCAGTTCCCTGACATCGATCTACTTAGGAAAATGAAGTTGTTGGTCAGTGAAAAATAAGATAGAATTGGCGCAACAAAGGGATTGATTATTAGAGTCAAAATATGTACTCCAAAAAGAGAGGCAGTTTTGAATACAACTATTCCAGCGGAGGCTGATCTCGATATGCTCAATCTGAGTCCAGGCTTCAGATGTAGAGGAAGGACGCCAGATAGCACATCGTCGATGACTGTTCCAATAGTTAGTGCTAACCAGAAACAGGTTATAGTGCCGCGAAGTTGCAGTGGACAGTCATTGTTCTCCGTCCTGCAACCAAAAAGTTTACGTCGGCCACCTAGATGACTCTCATCTCTGCCTAGATGCCCGAACTGAGCACTCAAGTCTCTATAACATCAATCGAACACTTAGTGGCAAAATTCATTAATGATCACATCCGGATTGCAATCTGTCAGAGCGTAAGTAGGGATGATGGAGAGGCAAAAGCCAAACGAGCTTCTCAAATCTATGCACCATAACTTTTGAAACGTTCAAAAAGCGTGTGTAAATGCTGGACATGTTCTTCAGTGGAAGAACTAGCGATTAAAACGTCGTCGATATAGACAAATACAAATTCCAAACCTCTAGTTACTTCATCCATATATCTCTGAAAGGTTTGAGCGGCGTTTTTTAGTCCGAAAGGCATCCTCAAAAATTCAAACAAGCCAAAAGGTGTAATTACAGCTGTTTTTTCGATATCTTCAGGTGCCATCGGTATTTGATGGTATGCTCGGACTAGATCTAACTTTGAAAAAATCTGTTTTCCATGTAAAGAAAAATCATGTAAATGAGGGATTGGATACCTGTCTGGGATAGTCTGGTTATTTAGTCGGCGATAATCTCCACATGGGCGCCAGTCTTGATCTTTCTTGGGAACCATATGCAACGGCGAGGCCCAAGGACTGTTAGATTGTCTGATTATCCCAAGCTGCATCATGTGTTCGAATTCTCTCTTAGCGAACTGCAACTTGTTTGGAGGGAGTCTTCGCGCCCTGGCACGAATGGGTGGTCCTGTAGTAGAGATATTGTGTTGAACATGATGTGTGGAGCATTCGTTTTGGTAATCAGTTCTGGTTATGCTTTCGTACTTCGACAGGATATCAGTGAAAATTTTGTTTTCAGGTCTTAACATTCGAACGCCATGAATTTCGTAATTCGAGGCAGGAGTGCCACTGACCTGCAAACTTGTGTTCTTGTCAATAAGTTTCTTTTTCCCCATGTCTACCAATAGGCTGTAAGCACCAAGAAAGTCGGCCCCGAGAATGGGTTGTTTAATTTCAGCTACGATGAAAACCCATGTGAAACGTCTACGGAGACCAAAATCTAAGATGAGTGATTGTTCACCATAAGTTTTAATGACTGTGTTATTAGCAGCGACTAGAGACAATTTAGTACTTTGCGAGTGCCGTCGTTGAGAAAGGTGTAATGGGACTATGCTAATTTCGGCTCCTGTATCGACCAAAAAATCTGAGCCCGAAATCCGATCCCTGACGTGAAATAGACGGCTCGGGTAGTGGCCAGAAACAGGCGCCGCCATCACTGTCTGGCCGTCTCGTTTCCCTGGTCCTTTGGGTTGCTTATTTTAAAGTTGCATGGTTTAGTGCAACGGCGTGCCTTCTCCCCGAAAGTCGCGTGATACCAGCAAGTATCTGATGTCCGTTTGGGTGACCTAAGACGAGGTCTGGATACTGATCTCCTTCTGAACCTAGATCTGGCAGGTCGAGAATGGATGGTAGAAATAGTCGCTTGCAGTGCTGCTAGCTGTTGTGTTAACTGTGTTATTTGTTGTTGGATGCTGTTAGATGGGCTAATCGTGTCTCCACTAGAGGTCTGTAGTACATTCAAACGTTGGCTGTCGGGATAAATCTCCATCATTTTGTCAGCCATATCAGCTAGATCGTCGAGATTGACGGAAGTTCCTGATATGCTGAGAATTTGGGTGACATTCTGTGGTAAACGTTGAAACCACATCTGTTTAAGCAATGCATCGTCTACCTTATATGGCCCTGCTAAGTGTTTCATATGTCGGAGTAATTGCGAGGGTCTCTTGTCCCCCAATTCGCAAGAAGTTAGCAATTGCTGCAGTCTTCTCTCGTCTGAAACCGAGGTGCGTTGGATTACGGCTGTCTTTAATTTATCATAAGGTTCAGCTTCTGGCACGTGATCGATTAAATCTCCGACTTCCGCAGCAATCTCGATAGGGAGTGCCCCAACTACATAAGCATACTTTGTTGCCTGAGATTTTATACCTCTAGCCATGAACAAGGCTTCGATTTGTGCAAACCAGATTCTGGGATTATTAACGCCGAACGTTGGTAGTCTTAAGTCTGAAATTGCGTTGATCGAGGTTAAGGCATTATCTTCTGATTGTGAAGCGTTCGAAGAGTTGATCAGTGGACTATCCATATCAATGAGTTTACCAGGAGAATTCATGATGGCAAAAACAAATATAAATGAACTAGCGTGCCAAGTAATAAAAAAATGAATATATATATAAACAGTAAACGTCTATAATGAATTCAAGGCTCACCAAATATGCATCCTTTTATTACGACACCTGGCATAAATCCAGTATACTGATGATCCCAATATAACACAGAATTATAAGGACTGCCTTCAAAATAAAATAAATTTCTATGTGACTATTGCAGAAGCATTAAACGCCAATGCCCCATCTATACATAATTCACAATTTTACTAGTTTTGCTCAGTAAGGCACTGATTAGAGCAACTAACTCATTATAATCAGAATACATAAAAAGATATCCCACAACAAATCAAAAGTTCTCAATCCACTAAAATATGACATTAGTTTGATAGTTTATGCAGATAACAATGGTGTCAAACATAACATTCATTCAATATAAGTACCATTTGATTTATGATAGATAAATGTAGAAGAACAGTCGATGAAGCGAGTGGAAGAAATAAGACAACTTCCAAATAATTATCCAAGGGTGTAAATTGGAGACATATCATTTACCACTAAATAAGGAATTAAAGAGTAAGACATAAACCACTTATAGTAATGATACTATGAAAAACTATTAGCGAATTGATATTCTTGAAAATTACTAATCTGGTTTGAAATAAAACAGAATCCAACCTACCACGTTGAATACAGCATGTGCAAACTTTGAGAGTTCTGGTGACAATGGGGCGCTCCCGGATACTACGCAACACACACGTCCGCCAAATTTCTTTCTAAGTTTACCAAACAACATTGTGTCTACAAAGCTTCGATGATTAAATTTTCCACTAGGATCAAAAGGAAATAATCGATTACTACTTACAAATTTACCAACAGTAAAAAGTTTTAATTTTGCAAGATTCGCTGTTGGGAATAAATAACCCTACCATGCTAGAGTCAAAATGAATATTTACAGATACAGTAATTTCTTCCGATTTTATATTGGAATGTAAACTAACGTCAATAAGTCGACTATAACTCGACGGGGAACTCTTCGTTTCTTGCAAATAATGAAACTCAAGATTATCCCTATCATAAGTATGATTTTCTTGTTTGATGAAGCAAATATTTGATAACTCAAACTTAATTGGACAGAAATTTTAGAAAGTGGATGATACACAACTACATCAAACTGTGAAGCAGAACGTAATACCAAAATCAGACCGAGTGAATTCCAAGTCTTTCATTTTATGAAGCAATAGTGGCAGTGATTGTTGACAATATTGCAAAGTTATCATTGATTCGAAACGCCTATATAAAAACACCTTGGAATTTATTACTTACTGAACCAGCTAATTTAGCACATGGAAATAACGAGTGACAGTAAATAGCTTCACTCTTTCCTATTATAGGTGTGATTAGCAAAACATTTTTAAGTAACTCAATAAATCATCGATTCTGCAACAGATTGACAACAACGCAGATAATAAACACTCTATGCACTAGAAAGTGAGATGAAATATTCCAGTCAAAGTAGAAAAGAGATTATTGATTTAAGCAATTCACTAGGTGAGTATTCAATTGCTAAACAAAAAATCGAAATATCTTAATATAAAATGATTCGAAATCAACTTTATTATTGTACTTATTTAGATCGCACCAAAGTACAGAAGCATCTAGTTGACCTTAGGCGACTAACAGTCAGTCGGAGGCCAAATATTTCAGTGGTAACATTTCAGATTGAGTGATCTGGGTTCGAAATCCACCAGGGGTATCAGTTACCTCAACGTTACACGTACGCCATGCTAACGAGCGCCACGTGGCACGAAACTTAGGTCCAGTATTTAGTTCGTATGACCTTCAAACATAGTGTATGTGATTTCGATTTACTTAGACTGACGATCACATTGCAACTTATACGATAAAATTCGATCAGCTTTAGTGACTAGACAAATATGACAACGATCCTTTCTCATTGTAAACATTTAACTGAATTATGGAAATAATGAACTATTCAAATACTTTCGGAGAATATTTGTAAACGAATAACCTAGTTTACTGATAATGTTCACTGTTGAACGTTTTTGTTCGTCATTCGTTTTTTTTAATGGTGTTATTTGAAGCAAAACTTCTTCAAGTCACTGAAAACTTACGATGAAAAATTAAATTATCATTTAAATTTTAATAAAAAATAATATATTTATAATCTCTCAATGAGTAGAAAAATTAATTTTCTGACATTTCATAACTCAGTGTAAGCTACCTCTTCAGGGAATTATTTTTTCTTAATAACAATCTACCAAATGCTCTATTTATTTGAAACTATTATCATCTAAATGGTACTAAGAGAAAACTGAAAATATGCACAAGTGAATTCTATTTGTTTTGTTTTATTAAAAAAAATTCATTTCATCCATAGTTAATTCAAAGCATATTTATACGTTTGTTTATTAGTCAACATTAATATAAAAGAAAACAGTCAAGATTATAACTAGGTCAGTTTTCACTCTCTATCTAACTGTCTATCTTTAGTTATACAGAAAGAACACACTTGGAAAACTCCATACAATCGGTATTAGTTTGATCGATTTTGTGGAAATTCAAATGAGTATAACCCCGTTTTAAGAATCGTAAATGCTTTAGAGTATTGATTTTCGAAGATATTTTTGAAAAACAAGAAAACATACCGTTCTTGTTCAGCTAATTTTTTATTCACAATGTAATTATAAAGTTGCTTTTTTACTACGGAATCACCCAATGCACTTTGATATTTTGTGTACAGACGAGAAAGTACACGTGGAACTACAACCAGTGAAGTTGGTCTCAAAAGATAAGCATCATCCAGTAGACCATCAATAGATTCTGTTAGAAATCCCGAACAAGCTCCCATCAGAATATGAGAAGACTAAGAAAATAAATCAATCAATTAGTAATAAAATAATGTTGATAAAATTGACAACTCAAAAAAGATAATTAAAAATAATCGATTTCTTTCAGTATGGTTTACTTGGATTTTTTCAAAATCATATAATAATAACTCCAAAATGTCTAGGAGTAAAGCATTACAAAACATGAACATGAGAGTTATATTCATTTTGCATCAGATAATCGTTTTTACATAATTAGTTAACTTTGGCTGGTAGTGTCATGACAAGTGATGAAGAGTGTTTGATTCAGAATGATACAGGGTTAATTGTCCTCAAACGATACAGAATAAAACTCATCAGGAACTCGACTAAATACACCAAGATACATCCTGGTAGGTGGCCTATGCTCCTCCACGAGGGATAATAGAAGTAAGTAAATACCAAGATACAGTAATACATATTTCATAAAGGTTGTGATTCAAAGTTCTTTAAGCGAAAAATACTGAACTAATATAATTCTTATGAAAACACTATTGGAAGAACAACAAAAACGTATCAAACTAAAGTAGATTAAATGTGTTTTTCAATGCAGATGAACATTAGCTGGAAAATCAAGGAAGACTAGGGGTTACTGAACAGTTTTTTGTTCTTGTTAGAAAAAAACACACAGTAAGACACTACAACTGAGTAAACTTCAGTTGTCGAACTTGGGGGGGGGGTTGACATACGTTTACTCACCCTACACTTAACATCCTCAAAATGAATAAATTCATCACTAAAAGATCTCCTGTTATTTTTAAAAGGTAGAAATTTGAAAACATTGATGTCATTTCCAGTCGATGTCTCAGTTCTCATAAAACCATAGGTTGTCCGTAACAGAAATATCTGATAACGTTTTGAATGGAAATGGTTACCTACTAAAATTAATACTGATAACCATCAAAAAAGCATAAGAATAGGACAAAGATGAATGGTGGCTAGCAATGGGATCCGGGTGGCGAGTTTCTTCCCGATTCGGGACTCATCATCTGGGTGTACTTGCATTTTAGAGTTGATGTTCACCCTGGGACTTGAACCCAGTGCCGTTCGCTTCAAACGTCATCGCGTTATCTACTTAGCCACTAAGTCCAGATATCCACTAAATGAGGTTTAATTCGAACAACCAAGACAAAAATGAGTTAAAAATAAAACAGTTTACCATTGCTATTTGTTCCATCATATGTGACAGTGGGAGATATGAGAGATGTACTGAATTAGAATTGATCATCTGAAATAAAGAATATAAAAAAAAACAAAATCAATCACTGGATAAGCATTAAATTTTGTCTAGTTACATAAGTCTAATCTATTGGGAAATGCATTATTTCTCGAAAATTCTACTCAAATCAGTCGAAAAAGGATGTTTAACGATCGTCATAGGGATATTGTTCAACCAGAAGCGACAAAACCAACTCACATCCTGAATGACTAATTATTAAGGCTACATCCAGAAGTCCCAGAAGTATTCACGTGCTTTACACGTAACCTGTGGTATCGGTCGCTACGTTAAGCCTACATAGCTTATTCTAGCTTATGGACAAGCTAATTTATCCATTCTTTTTTAGTCACGTTATGACTTTGTTAATTATCTGCTTATCAACCTTGACTGTTTTTATGTTAGAATATGTGTGTATGTCTTACGTTACTCATCACATGTCTGTAGCTTATTTTTGTCTCACTATAAATATCGATTCACTCATGGTTCAATTGAGTTGGCTAACACTTCTACACTGCGTGTCATTTTGCGTCGCCCTCTTCTCTTCTCCGCTCGTTTGTCTCGATCAACAATTGTATGAAATATACGTATTCAAAACCTCATTTTCGTATTTGACTTATTTAATCCCGTTCACTAACGCCAGTTAAGTCAAAGATTATATACGAGGATAACCAGGATGTATATTTGACAGCAATCATTTGATAACAATCAGAAACTATCTACCTGAAGTCAGATCTTGGAGCACTAAAAACCATCCAGTTGGAGTAGGGAGTAAATCTTTTGCTTTCTTATATCTTCCTAGTGGTTGAGGTTAAATGAAGAGTCAATTAGAGTTTGGTGCATATTTCGTTATAGTGTATTTGTGTTACATTTACTTATAGCGTCAACTCTTGCACTGATGTTTAAATTCGTGTAGCCAGCATCGGTTTTAACGTAAAACATGCTGAATTTTCAGCCTTTTCAATTGATACATATAAAAAAAAGCACAAAACTCAACATATCTATCTGAATCGTAGGAGACTCTGTAGACTACCGAAGTGAAGCCCACAGAAAAAGCTTAATCGCTTATCATTTTTAATTTACTGATAATATAATGAGTAAGACTGAAACAGCCAGAATATATTAGTATCACTGAGATAAATTATGTTTATTATTCAAGCATCCAGGATTTGTATATTTGTATAACTAACGTATTTAAGAAAATCCATTACTAATTAAACAGATAATATGCTAAAATGACACATTCGTTTACCTTGAATTCAAAAGATTCGTGAAGTGCAATTACGGAAGATGCAAATTCTTTGTGCCTAATCAGAACTCCTTTGGGCAAACCTACATCAACAAAAAGTGAGATTTTTAAGTGTTTTATTCTTGTATACAACAAGAATACCTGACAACATGAAATATTTTGCCCTGATTGTGTCTGCTAACTAATAAAAAACCAAGAACTTTCTTAACAAGCCTAACAAATACAAATCCTTTACGGATTCAGTCAGTTATGTAGAGTGTAGGACCTGTCACATATATCTTGGTCCGAATTGCTATAGCATAGCAAGATGAAACCATCAAAATATCATATTAGAAGTGTAGTGGACGCTACTTACAGGATTGTTTTTAAGTAGTATATAGCGGGAAAGTGGCATCGAATTTGTAACAATTTTCAAACCGAGTGAAGAGTTTGCGTACATCTAAAGTGCAGTGTTGACCGAACACTTGAGGACCAAATGAGAAGACAATTCAGATAGCAGAAAACACCGACAAGTCCTGCTATCGCCTTAAACTGTCTGAGGAGGTAGCTCCCGATGTCTCCGTTTCAAACGGCTCTGGCCATGGCACTTTTATCTTGATCCTGGCAGCGACACCAAAAATAGAAGGCAGTAGGCAGTAGGTAGGAGGGATATATAACTGTTGTGAGAATTTACAAAGTATTTACATAATAAATACACATTGTCTTTAATTGTCCATTTGCATCTTTCAGTGTGTCCTAACAACGCCGCGCTTTCGATGTACGCAAACTCTTCACTCAATTTGACAATTGCTACAAATTCGATGCCAGGTTTCGCTATATACTACTTACAAACAATCCTGTGAGTAGCGTCCACCACAGTAGTAGTATCGGTGATAGTGAGAACCACTAAGTGTAAGGAATATATTAGAAAAGAATGGATTTGCTGAATAGAAGGTATAAAATCGTTTTGAAATTCAGGATCTAAGCGACTCTAGAGAGTAAACATATCTAAACTTACCTCCCACCAAAACTGCTTGAGTATCAATGACTTTATGGATTGATATCATGTCTTAATTTGGTCACTCCTAGTTTTCTTCCGATTTACCTCAAGCGTAGACACTACCTCTGTCGAGCTAGGTGGTGACTGGGCCTACTTGATACGTCTTAATCGCCTCAGTAGATGGAGATTCACTCAGCAGTCGCAAAATAAATAAGCAATGCTTCGGAGACGGCTATAATCAAATAATAGTAACCTAAAAATCTTCAATTGACTTCTAAAACAATTCAGTCAGTACAGAGACAGAACGATCAACTTTCACTGAATTAGTTCCACACTTTCAAAAGGGTAGTAGCCTGCATAACCAGATTATTTCTCTAACAATCAGCCAACTTTATGTACTCGCTTTCTATACACTTTTTTCTGACGGCTGTTTTGTATTCAGGCACTTACCTTATTCTGGACTCTATGGAGTGAAAGTTAATTGGTTAAACAGTTACGGACAGAAAAGGATGTTACAGTGATTTATCATTTTATCTGCCAATAGGGATAGATATTCTTGAAAAAGGGAATCTACTTGAGACAAGTCAATTAGCTTGTTATGATTGCACAGGACATGATTTCCTTACTGATGTTTAAGCGAGAAAAAGAATTTTTAGAAATACTGGCGTTTTAATCAGTAAAGTTAAAAATACATTTAAATTGACAAGCATATCGATATTTCAGTTACTTGAAGTACAGTACAAGATATATGCTTACCAGTACTTCCACTAGTGTAGGAAATCATATAAAGGTCTGTTGGTAACGGGTTCTTTTAAAAGAAAAAGGAATAACTTAAAATGTTTTTAAAAACGTAAAGATAAATGTTTCCATCATCGATTGTTGCAAAACATAACAATCTATGAACATTTCGATTACTAATATTTAATTGCTACAGGATAAAAAGAAATTGTTGTATTTAATATGCTGTCAATAGGTAATATATATATCTGAATACATGCGATTGCTTCTACAAATCTGCTGGTGCAGATGTTTAGGATAACTGATCTCATACCGTAATTCAAAGCATGTAAAGACCAGAGATGTATGTTCTACAGTGACTACACAATCTCGAAAATTCTCATAACAAAGGAACGTCTGTTTGTCCAAACACGATTTTCATTCCTTTAATATTAGCTGGGTTTGGTGGTCTTTCGTGTTTATGAAACCTACAAACCATACACGTTACATGCAAATATTGCACTTTTATGCACGAAAAAGGAAGATATATTCAGCTAAACATGAAAGCATCAGATCAAATTTCATCTCGAAATGCATTTAATTTGTTGCTATGATTAGAATATCATCTAAGTAAACTGCAGCACCTGAGGTATCCTATAACATGATGTCTATCATTAGGTGGAATATAGAGGGTGTATCTTTCACTCTGAAAGGATCGGTTATATCGGAATGAACCTTGTGAGTATTATTGACTACAAATTCTCAGTATTCTACAGCAACTGGAATTTGTAGGTCGTCACCAAGTTACTTTCTCTTAGGTTCTTCTGTGGTCTAGTCCATTTGTGTCTACGTTGCCACAGGGGAACGTATTTTTTAGATAAACGTCTTCAAACTATTTGTGACCAATAATTCTTTTCCTTACATCTCTCAGAACATCTGTCGTTAGATCGAGCTTCGCAGAGCCCTGTTACGTTCTCTCTCTCAACAGTAACAGCCAAAACTGTTATCGTCTGTGTAGTAGCATCTCTTACCTCTGACAATACTCAAAAACCGAATCTATAATCCATATTACGATGCATTCCTAACTTAGGCCAAGAACTGTTTCGAAGATGCCCACCAACACATAATAATCCGCGTACCACAAAACGATCCAACATTCTTAAAGAAGAGTTCATCCCCCTTGACGTTTCATTGTAGGCGATAAAGTCATCCTAAACTATTCAAATACTGTAATTATGGGATTAAGAATCAGGTCTAAGAATATCCAACGCAACACCTCAAGCCTAAGTAATCCCATCTGTAAAGACATTTCACTTAATTCCTTACCCATTTCAATACTTTCCAAGACACGGTGTTCCTCGTAAAGCCTTGATAACAGTCTCCAACATAAACAACTGCAATATCAAACACTTAGCCAAATGCTCCATCCTCCATAGAAGCTCATATAAGGTAACGTAAACATGAATATGTAGACCCAAATAAAGCATCAAGCCACTAATTCTTTTGTTTACCAAGAATTCTTTATTCTGATTCAGAATCACAACACTGTTTGACTCTTCGAGTTTCTTAAGAAAATGAGTAGCCATAATACATGGCTTCAGGTACAATTGCAGATTCACACACAAACAACTATTTGAGTCCACAGAACATAAAACCCATTCTTCCCATGATCATTAGCTACAAATTAAATCGTATGAACCACTGCTTGATAATTTTGTCACGTAACTCTAATATAAACATCGAATCTCTTGTAAATACAAACGAACTGCCAACCACTTTTCCGTAAGATTCATTTCGATACCCATCAACACTAAGATTATTATTATTATTCACAAACATCTTATGGCTACATAAGTGTTGCGAAGAAACTAATTCGGGTTTCTTCAGAAAATTCAATAATACACAATTTTCAATAATGTTAGCATTATACTTGCCATATTAAAAAAAAAATTTAGAATAATAATAGTAGAATATTAATAATAATAAATCAGGTTTGTGTAATTGAGAAGAATATTGAATTGAGTTTAAAGAAGGAAATGGAGAAAATAAGGGAATAGAAATAAAGGAGACGTGAAATAGGCAAACAGTGTAATAGGCGTGTTTATAAACACAGAACAAGAATAAACGACTATGTGTGTATCGTTAAATTAGTAACAAAAAATAATGTATCATTGTAGTAAGATATGACGCTAGAATAAATGTTTGTGCAGTTATCGTTTAGAGTGATGCTATGAAAGTCACAATTAAGTGAAAAGGATAATAAAATATCACTATGTATGAGTCATACATGCATAGTGAAGATAAAACGAATCTGAGAAGTTAATTTAAATGTAACACAAGTTATTGTTTTAATTACAAACTTCGTAATCTTAAGAATAATATTTATTCAGAGGGAAAGAAGAGAAAGAAGTGAACACCTAGTGAAAAGGTTCATCCACGATAAGAATAATAATTGTGTAATGAATATCAACCTGAGAAGGAAACCAGCAATTGAAAAAAAATAAAAATCCTTTAAAGCACTTGTATTGCCATTTATTTAGCGAATTTTCCAAACACGTTTCTTCGTTTAGTTCTACTGTTACAGAAACCTTATATTCAAGTGAGCCATGTTTATCAATATGGTCTATATCCTCAAACTCATAACTACATGATATTTCTAGATCCGGTGAAATATCATGAGAATGACAACGCTGTCCTGGATGTACTGAGCTATATGCTCACTTGGGATCTAAAAGCAACCAACCGAGAGGCGTACGCACACCAAACGGATGTTCCTTGTCTCTCAGACGTTGTTCCAGGACATAATATGCGTCTGGAGGATCACATCAAATCAACACTCATACCAGAGTACTTCGCAACGTTGGAAGAGTGATGTCCTTCAAATGCTTCCAACATCCCATCTGTTCCTCGGTTAAATGTTTTACACAATCTATCGGAAACGTCTTAGTCTTATAAACCTTGTTGACTTTCGTAGAACACTGCTCTTCCGAAAAAAGATACCTCTAAATTTACTTCTAAACATCTACAGGTAGTCGTTCCATTCACAATGGTTATCGTCATCGAATCCTTCTTACCCTTGAGACCCAACTAATTAAATAACTCTCCGTATACGACGAAAGTATTTGAACCACTATCTAGAAGGGAGCAAGTTTCCAAATTTCCCTTCGTACCATACAATATGACCGGAATGATACCCAAACAAAACTTCGACGAGTTCCAATCCTCATCTAAGTTCACTACATGTTTATTAATATCGTCAATATGTAGCAATAAATCATGCCGAATTTTCCAATTATCAACGTCACACTTGACGTCTGTGTTGCATGACTTGGTTACGTGATCCTTTCTTAAACACAGGTAACACAGACCACGTCTTCTCACTTCCTGTCTCCTTTTTGAAACATTCATTTTCAATAACTTCATACAATCTGTCTCTTTGTGATCACCTAAGCAAATTTCGCAACCTAGAGCCTCGAATGAGTTGTTTGATTCACGATTAACTACATTAAAGCGTGATCTCTTACCAACTTGGCCTTCATTATTACTTTCACATAACTTTGAGTTACAATGTACCAATCTACCAAAACGTGTTCGAAAAATCATGGCTCTTTTCTCTACAAAAATCACAAATTCTTCAAAGCTCGGCTCCCTCCCGGTCATCATGATCTTATCGGCAACTTCTACCCACTTATTCTGTAATTCTAAGGGTAGACATGACACTGCTATTTCCACCTTAGCCGTAGAATTCACATCAGACATGTACTCCATTTCCTTCAATGTTATGAATACATTACGTAGCTTAACTACGAGTTCAATTAAGCTGTCGGCTGATCCTTCAACAGACTTGTGGTTAAGTAACCCAGTAATCAGTTCGCGAGCGACAAAGTGTTCCTTACCAAACAGATCATACAAAATTTGTTTAGCTCTATCATAACCTAAATGACCGGGCAAATAAATACAAGCCTCATTAGCCGCCCTGGCCTTTCCTTTACAATAGTATAAGAAATATGACAACATTTGGCTCTTATCGGACAGTTTACTCTCAATAATGCTAGTAAACTGACTAATAAAACGAAGGTACTGAGCCGGTTGTCCATCAAAATGCATCATATCAATCTTAGGTAAAACCATATTATTAACCATAGTAAGTAATGTATCCTTCAACGCATAAACCCATTCGCCTTTTGAGATGTTAAATATCCCTCTTGAATGATTATTACAGCTGGTATCACAATGCAAATGACTTTCCACCTAAGCAATTGTCTCACACTTGTCTACAGACAGTTGTTTATCGTCCTCCATGATCTTACATTCTAATTCAGCTATATCAATCTCTTCTTGAAGATCTAACATCTTAAGCTGCCTTTCTAACTCAAGTCTCTTTTCTAACTTCTCCTTCCTTATAAACGCCTTATCTAACTTTAATCTAGAAGTACTAAGCTGATCAGAGGACATACTGTTAATACTAATATCACTTTTATCATCACTAACATCAGACATGCCACAAACAGCTTTAGAAATTTTACATTCCATCTCGTCATTTTCTTTCAGTCTTTTGCTTCGCGTTTCCATCGTATGCCTTGGTTCCAAAGAATCAGTTACCAAAACAAATATGAATAAATTCAAACGAAATCGACCAACAAAACTGGAAATTTGGGTCCAAAAAGAATGTCCAGACAAATCCAATGTATGAACACAGAACCAATAATTGAAGAACTTTGTGTTACGTCCAAGTTTTTGCTCGTTTCCGTTATTGAAGCACGGTATATTGATCTATTTACAATTTACGAACCCAAATTAACAATAGAACCAAACTCCAATTTAGGTATCAAAGTTTATTCACAATTTACAAATAGTCGACCCAAATGTCGTTCTAACAATGCACGATACTCTACCTTAACATCGAAAAGGAAACGTTTGTGATATATATATTCATTTGTGGGAAACCGTTACAAACCCTAGGAATCTAAGATGACACGGGTTTTCGGATTCCGACAACGCTTTAACAAGTGACATTCTACCATGAATCGTACCTACCAAGTGAAATCAAAATACAAAAGCGAGGAGGTTCGAAGATATATTTGATAGGCTATCAATGTATCGATGATAGACTGACCTAGGCTGGCTAGTGATTGAAGGGGATGTCGAGCACGGCGTTCTCACTCGTGATCTGATGAGGATGCATGACCGAGCGCCTTCAGCTAGGTGAGTCAATTAAAACTAATGTGGTCAGCATCCACTGTCGAAAACTTACAGAGCTATTTATTTTAGGGATCTATTCACCGCTACAGAATCATGAACGTGGTCTTCAGATCACACCTTGCTCTTCTGTAACCTAAGGAGAATAATTCCTGGTGATGGAGTAAGTGCCCACAACATTTGCTCTTTAATATCATATCCTGCTGCAGTGCACATCATTCCACGTGTCCCAAAAAATTCACGCATGATATCAGGGAAAAAAGAGAAGGGAAGTTGTGGAATTTTAAAATGTTTGTCAGTGGAACCTCACTTTAACACCAAGAAACGAGGGCATGGAAAATGTTCGGTTAACACTTGCTCATCAAAAACACTTGAGTATTGATGATATTGGACAAAGGCGCTCAAACAACTAAGCCAATCAAAGCGCAGTTCACCTTTCAACTTTGTTATTTAACTACCATCAGCTTGCAATTTGTCTCCTCAGCTTGCAGTTGGTGTATACTGTGCGATGCCTGGTAGGTCTGGTTTGGAAGTTTAGCCCTTTAACATGAAATATGTTGTGTTT